ATAAATTTGACGCGGGTGAAACCGCGGCCACAGCTAGTAGTACTATATTTATTTGTGTAAAAGAAATACATTTTAAGTGATTCATTCTTCAATAAAAAGTAGCTGGACTGATACTTTTTTTGTAAGTTTTTTTTATTGTTAAATATTCAAAGGAACATGTCTGTTCGTCGCACATCCGTAATGTAATAAATAATATATAATCGATACAAAACGAAAAAAACGTTCCAGACCGGTTTTTATCAATCTATACCCACCATTAGTTTAGGGTCAACGTCTCGCGTCGTGCGACAGTTATTTTTTTTTATTACGAAACTATTGAGTTAGCTGTCAAAATTGACAGATTTTACCTTCGCATTTTTGACATGTCATTTTGACAAAAGCTTGTTTTCTGTGGCAGACGTAGATTGTTATCGATTTTAGGAGATTATGGGTACATAGATACTTAGATACCGATAGATATAGTGACCACTTTTTATAACAATTCGGTACTTACTCGGTACCGAAAAGAAATGCAAAGTAAATATTGATAAAACTCATTATTAATTACACTCACTATTATCAAATTTATTCACTACGAATAATTCATTTATTTATTGAAATTATGTCGTTGACCATTACTAATATAAGAAAATTTACTGAAATTTTTCAATAATTTTGATCTTGCTTAGCAAAATAGAATAGTTTAAAAACAACTATTGATGATTTTAAAGTTGTTATATCCTTGTTTTAAAAATGTCTATTATGTATTTCCAATTTTTTCCGGGATAGCGGGACAAGGAACAGAAAAATGGGATAATACCATTGAAAACAAGATGTGTGGTCACGCTAGCTATAGACTTATTTAGTTATGCATGGTTAACGGTTCTTGTATAGTTTTAAATATCAATGCGGAATATTAAATAGGCACAAGAAATGTTTTGGCAAGTCTGCGATGTTATAAGTATTTTTTTAATTGCTGTTAGGTATATGGAAGAATAAAAAAACGGGTCTGCATTACCTTGATATTCCAATGAATTGATACTTTTTGAATCATAATTTAGAAATATTTAAATATATGATCGCCTGTGAGAGATTGATTATCTACCTACTTTTTTATTTGATCTCTGTGCGGAATAAATTTTTAGCTTTTATATAGTACTTTTATATATATTTAATACAATTTTCAGCAATAGATAGAGTGACTCAAGAGGAAGGTTTATAAGTAGAATACACGCGTTTTATAGTAGAGAACAAGCAGAGAAGTACATGTAAATAGATAGACATATATATATATATATTCCTTGACTAAAGTCGCCTAAGGAAATTATTTTCTAAAGATACACAGCTTATTATTATTATATATATTAAATTCTAAACACCCAAATATAATATAAGCAAACTGACAGCCGAGGTGACTTAATTTTATTTCGACGACTTCGTCTGTATCACGCTTGTATTATATATCGCCCAATATATATATACAATTTTTCATTAATTCTTTAATTTACTAAATTCAAATTCAAATTCAACATCCATCCATTTATTCGTTTATAAGGACATTTTAACCGCTTATGAACGTCAAATTTTACAGTCTTTAATTTACAATATAATATATATAAATATTACCTATATGTTGTAAGAGCTGCAGGAGTTACACGATCACCTGACATTACAGTTTTTTATTAATTCTTAAATTTACTATAGAGATTTTGGCGTCGTCTTAAATAAAAAACGCAATTTGATACTCAAAATTGTGAAAGTGAAACGAAAGAACAATATTGCATATCAAAAACTTTCACCGACAGATTTTCACACTGCGCCCTTTCTTCAGAATAAAGACAATAGCATTATAGATAATTGTTCTGTCGCTGACTAAATGTTACGTCGCAGGTATTGTGCTAATTCGGTACGTATTCATAATGTCTAGTTGCGACATTACACTCATACACTCATACACTCATTCACATACGATTAGTGAGTTCTCAACAATGGGATGAACTACTTGCTGATATTTTTTTCGAACTACTCTATTGCTGTGCCGCAGCTGGTCTTTACAGCTTCACTGGACGATAGGAGGCGAGTGCACATGGCACTCCAAACTAGCAGAAGGACTTATGGAGCGCCTGAGGGCCAAATCCCGCCTGACGGTTATGTTTTTAGTCTAGGGGTTTGAACATCGGCGCAGGCCGTCGTAAATTCGGTCCCCGTTTGAACTGGACCTGGCATCGATCGAAGGGATAAGCAATAATTTTCTAACGAAAATTACGCAGACGAAGGATTATGAACTTTTGCACAGTTAACGTTAATAGGAAGAATGAGTGCAGAGAGCCTATAATAAGTCAGTGTCAAATATGATTCACTGACGTATAATAAAGAAAAAGAAATTTAGCACGTAGTACATAAGATAGATTAGGTCTAAAGACCAGCCAATAATTGGCTTATATCTAGTGACTCGGGGGATTACTCCCGAAGAAATAGCCGGTGCAAAGAGATTTGCCCTAAGTTAACCCGTGGTACATAAGATTTATTACGTCCAAAGACCAGTCAATTGTTGGCTAATATCTAGTCACTGGGGGGGATTGCTTCCGAAGAAATAGCCCTGTAAAGGGAATTGCCCTAAGGTCCCGAGCTACACTCTCCAGGGAGGACGCAGAAGAGCTCGTTCATATGAAATGGCTTTTCTGTGCCCTCCTCGCTAGTCTTATAATTTAAATGAATTTTAGTCAAATTGCGACTATTGACCAATTATTATAAATGAGTGTATATTTTTAGTACAATTGGGATATTTTTGAAATTACCTAAATTCAACTTTCACTGTCGCATGTAAGGTAATGATTATGGAGTGAGATTTTGCATCTGTACCCATCGACGCCTCGACGCAACACGGAGCGTAATGATAGCGATTGTCAATGGTACAGTCGCACAAAGATTATATCACGTGTAGTTTTACTTTTTAAAATAAATATTAATAGATAAATAATAACTCTAGAAAACACACAGAGCCATCTAGTACCACAACACAAGTAATTTAGCTTGTGTTATGGGTACTAGACAACTGATACAAATACTTAGATATTTTTTTGTAAATAGAAAACACCCAGAACAATACAAACAATCTTTCTAATGAATACAAATGTTTGCAACGTGCGAGGAATTGAACCGGCGATCGTAAGTGAAGTAGTGTGGTAGACCACCGAGGCCGTTAATACTTAGATTTAATAATTTTCTATGTATTTAAAAAAAAAAAAATCTATGTATTTGTATCAGTTGTCTAGTACCCATAACACACGCTTTAGCTAGCTTAACTTGAGTCTAGATGACGCTGTGTGAATTGTTCTGGGATTATAAAAAAAAACTATATCAATAATGAGTACCCATAACATAAGTTCCGCTTAGTGTGGAACTAGATGGCGCTGTGTTTATTGTCCAGGGTTTATTTATTTATTACATATGAGTATTAGAGGAATAATTCCAAAAGTTTTAATCTTCTAAGAATATCTATCAATTCTAAACACGGGTCTAGAATAGAATAGAATAGAATAGAATAGAAAATCATTTATTCAAATAAACTTAATTTAAGCACTTTTGAATAGTCATAACAATTTGTTTTTTATCTACCACTCGTACGGAAAGCTGTCTCATCACAAGAAGAACGAGCAAGAAACTTGTGTGTTGCTCTTTTAGGCTTCTTTCTAGGTAGTGAACTTTGAAAAACGGCGAGTACAATAGATCTATGTAGGTCGCAGTCAGGTCCAAGCACCTCACAATAGCCCAAACTCCCAAAAAAATCTAAAGATTTGAATATAAGTGTTGTATGTATATGAGTGTACAATGAATATATTATTTCAATATACTATACAATTATAATTGTGTGGCTCGCTTCATAAGTATTGTACGCAAATTGTACATATTACTATTTCTCTGACGTTTGATTGACTTGATATTTTTATTACAGATGGTGAAATAGCTATCGCGTAATGCCTATTAAAAACTAAACATACACATTTACCTACAACAAGGACAAACGGATTTCATTAACAAAATTGACTATTGTTGTCTGAATATATATTAATACAAGCAGTGCCCGCGATTTCGCGCGCGTCAAATTTCAATAAAAAGTATAGCCGATGTGTTATTCTGACACATACGCTATATTACTGTATTAATATCCATTAAGTAGTTTTAGCGTGAAAGTGTAATAACATCCATCTATATTCACAAACTTCCGCGTTTATATTATTAGTAAGGTAATTATTAACTAGCTGTGTCCGCGACTTCGTCTGAAGGAATAGTGTCCTTGACTACATAAAGAAAAAATATTTAATAATCTAACCTAAAAAGACCAAAGAAAAAAGTTTCATCGTTCTAGCTTCAAAAATGACGAACTTCCATACAAACTCTCATTTTATACTGTATAAAGATTTAGGCTTACAAGATATATTCGAAAAAGTAATATTAAATTAAAAAGTAATATTTGTTAAAATTATATATACCAACGTAATTGATTTAATGCGTTTCTATGTTTATTGTCGCATGCCTAATCCTTGTTAATGTTTATTTACTTAGAACAACATTTATTTAAAAAAGCAATACGCAAGTATGAGCCAGAACTCATATTTTTTGTTATGAGTCTACGTTCCGAATGAGTGGTAGAATTAAAAAAATATTACTATTCAAAAGTGCTTGTGAGTTTATTTGAATAAAGACTATTTCTATGCTATTTTACAGACTGATATTTTTAGAATTGATATCTATCTATTATTTTAAACTGCAACCCTATCAAGAGTCTATCTATCTATGTCGGAACATATTACAATGAATAATTAAGATGGCGTCAGTGTAGTGTCAAAATTTGAAAACCGTTTTGGCTTATTTTGACAGACGATGGCGGCAGTGAGCTGTCAAAATTTGTAATCATTTGGATTTATTTTGACAGGTACATTTTTGTTGATTATGTTATGTAGTTGTTATGTCATATATTGTAGTTGTAGTGTAAGTATATTATTTGAATTTACACATACCTGTTCAATAGAGTTCAGTAGAGTATCTATTTAGATTATCTGAAACAAAAATTAATAAAATTTAGTATTTAAATACAGATGTACTCTCGAAATACGAAAACATAAAATATTTTATTGATAAACATGAGTAGAAATATTGAGTTTATCAAGAATGTTTAAAAAAATATAAAAAAAACATTTATTCAAAAAAGCAACACACAAATAAACAATCAATTTCTTGCTCATTCTTCTTGTGATGAATCTGCATTCCGAATGAGTAGTAGAATAAAAAAATGTGATTATCAAAAGTGCTTGTATTGAGTTTATTTGAATGAAGATTATTTCTATTTCCATTTCTAATGTTTCTAGGGGTAAAGATCCAGTTAAGTGTTATTCTAAAACAAACTTGTTTAAAGAAACCTGTCTAGCGTGAAACATCGATATCAGTTGCCTTATCCTATGGATAAAATTTCATCGAGTTTTAAATAAACAAAAATTTTATAGTAGTAACGTTTGTTTAGTGAAGTGTAAGGGACATACAAGACATGGCGGAATTAGGCGTTAGCATAACATCATGCAGATTTCGTCAAGCAGAAGAGGAAACGACACTACACATCCAATATGGTTGTAGCCCACTCATGCATAAACGAAATATCTGCTTTGGAAAGTTTATACTCCATCCTGAGAAGATAAAAACCATCGCTTCTAAGAATATCCTTCAATTCTTGTCCCTCACGGGTCTAGGTAGCGAACTTTGAATAAGGGCGAGCGCAATAGATCTATACAGGTCGCAGTGTTACAGGTCTTAGCACCTGACAATAGCCCAAACCCTGGGGTTAATGTAAAAACTATGGGACATACAACCTTAATACAAAAGTACATTATTTACGCAACGCGGTACCGTCAAAATTATTCCATGTGGCAATAATTGTTAGTATAATAACATAATAATTTTATTAGCAACTTGTAAGGATTACATAAAGTTGTTATGATGTTGTGAAAACCATTTCGTGTTGCCAGTTACATATATAATTGTCTTAATATTGGTGCGGAAAATTTAAAATTACACTACGCGAAAGTGTATTGCTAGTTATATGTGTATATTTTAACTAGCTTTTGCCCGCGGCTTCGCTTCGCGTTAATTTATCCCCTTGGGGATGGAATTTATCAAAATCCTTTCTTAGGGGATGCATACGTCATAGTAGCTTTATGCATGCAATGTCTCGGCCAGATCGGTTTAAAATTGACAAAGTTTCATATAAACTTTCATCCCCTATTTTATCCCTTTGGAAGTAGAATTAATCAAAATCCTTTCTTAGCGGATGCCTATGTTATGACGTAGGCATCTGAGCTGAAATTTGGCATACAGGTAGATGTTATGACATCTACCTGTGTGCCAAATTTCAGCCCGATCCGTCCAGTGGTTTGGGCTGTGCGTTGATAGATCACTATGTCAGTCACCTTTGAGTTATATATATATTTAGATTTGGATTATATACAGTCAGTATTTTTTACATACTATATATACTAGGTATACATTGTTTTATATATAAATTCTCATGAGAATGTTAGTTATCGTAATTCTACGAAACGACTTTATATGTGTACTCAGTGGGTTTTAGAACAGGTTTTAATCTGTTTTTCTAGTCCTAAGTGATAAGGGTATTCACACTAAAGATTTCTTGTTTTTATGATTCAACTATAAAAAAATATAACTCTAAATTTTCACCCCTGTACCGTCAACCCCTATTTTTAATAGCTATATTAATTTGTACGGCAAAACAAAGTGTGCTGAGACAGTAATGGGATAATGCAATTTTATTTATTTATTTTATATATTTATTTATTTCAAGCTACTATATTGTAAATACCTTAAGACTAACATACATATGAAATAATATAAAATTAAGACATTGAAATTGCCTGTGTGATCACGGCACTGGTGTACTCGCCTGCGCTAACGGTTTACGCTGGCGAGTCACCAATGGATGATAGGATGTAATAATATCAGATCAAATAGCCCATTGCGGCAAATTTATCAGGAATTTATCACGATGGTTTCCAGAGGGAACTGCGTGGAGGTTAACCTACATTTTAAACTATTAGATAACCTATTAATTAATTATTTAAGCTATTAAAATTGATAAAACGGATCCTTTTGTTACCATATGTATTGCTAGCAATGGAATTATTAGTCCACATTACTAACAATTCCTTGTCCCCTACATAACTATATATATTTACGAGTATATATAGTAATATATACTCGTATATTGTTATACGACCTCCATTCAATATCCTGTACACACCCATGCCAGAAGGCGAGGTGGTGATATTATCATAAGCAAAAAGCAGTAAAATAATAAATCTGTCTATGTAAAGTAACTCTGTCTGTCTGTCTGTCTCCCTTTCACGCCAAAACTACTGAACCGATTTATATGAAATGAGAAAGGACTTAAGCTACTTTAAATGCGAAAAAAAGTGTTGTAAGGGAGGTGAAAAGTTGTACGGAAGTATCTTCATTCTTACTATACGCTTGAAACTTATTTTTAGGCTGTTGAATAAATGTAAATAAATATGAAATTCAAAGTATGTATAAATTTTACTCTTACGGGGGTAAAATAAAATAGGGGGTGAAATAAAAATTACTCATTCGTCGTCTATTCCACGCGAACGAAGTCGCGGGGTCAGCTAGTCTATTATATGTCTAACATATGACACTCAGTGCACTTGTGTCTAACAACTTTTCTAAGCTTGTATAAATTTTACCCTTAAGGGGGTAAATTAAAATAGGGGGTGAAATAAAAATTACTCATTCGTCGTCTATTCCACGCGAACGAAGTCGCGGGCTCAACTAGTCTATTATATGTCTAACATATGACACTCAGTGCAGGTGTGTCGTACAATTTTTCTAGTGTAACTACAAGAACAGAAAGTGAATGTGGTCTGAATTACCACGTGGTGACCGACATAGTGGTAATTATTGAACACGGAAAGTGGTAAAATGGAAGCGACACACGATGCCTTTATGTGGTAATAATAATAATAATGTGGTATATGCGACAAAGTGTAAAAAACAGCAAAAGCTGTGAAAATAAATAATAATAATAATAATAATCTCAGGACAATTCACACAGCGCCATCTAGACCCAAGTTAAGCTAGCTAAAGCTTGTGTTATGGGTACTAGACAACTGATACAAATACATAGATATTTTTTTTCGTAAATACATATATATTAGACATAGAAAACACCCAGACCGACACAAACAATCATACTCATGAATACAAATGTTTGTGCCGTGCGAGGAATCGAACCCGCGACCATCGGTCGTAAAGCGGTATGCTAGACCGCCAGACCACCGAGTCGTCACCAAAATAAAGCGTAACAATAATAATAATAAACCTGGGCAATTAACACAGCGCCATCTAGTCCTACGGTAAGCAGAGCTTGTGTTATGAGTACTAGATATCTGATATAAATGCAGCGTGGTGGGCCGGGTCGATGTGCTCCCTCAAATATGGTTGAGTACAATGATGACTGCCTCATACGTCATACTCGTGAACGGATGCTGCTTGTGGGGACTGGTCTGTTCAGGTTGTGAACACTGATTAATTTTTTTGTTCTTTGCGATAGCATATGCTGGTGGTCACTCTATTCTCCCAAATTTGAATTTTAATAACTGTATTTATCATAAACATGTTCAACTATTATTTGAAAAAAAAATACGAGCTGAGTTTATTGTCAGTTCTTCTCATCTCGATATCATTCCGAACTGACGGTAGATTTGACATATCATAAGAGTCTGTAATAGACCTACATGAATAAAGATATTTTGAATTTGAAAATACTTACATTTTTTTTTGGTAAATACATACATAATATGCATAATCATAGTCATAAATAGAAATGTTGAGTTGTGATCCGGGAACTGCTCGTTTCCCTCTCTGCCTCACGATGAACTCGGCACCAGCACCGTGAATCCATGGTAAGTTCGTTTGACTTCTGACCGATGGTAAGTGGTAAATTTGGGCTATATTGCCGACTTCGTGATCTAGCGGTTTAGCACACCGCTTTACTTCCGATGGTCCCATGTTCGATTCCTCGTTCCGTAAAAAAATTGTATTCATGAGTATGATTATTTATACCAGTCTGGATGTTTTCTATGTACATTTTTTTATTACATTATGTGTATATTTACATAAAATATATTATTACTGTAAATGTTAAGAGAGTGAATAAATTCTACTATTCTCATATAGACAACTTTATACAAAGTCACCCTCGATACAAATACGCCACATCTATTATCTTTATGTTTGTGTATGTTTTAGCAATTACTCTAAAACTTAAGCATGTGAATTACGTTTCATATACCCAGCCGTGTGATTATATTGTTATTATTATATAGGTCTAGATTTTATATTGTTTGAAGGTTATTTTTGAAAGTATTAAGTCCATTATTGTATCTTATCTACAAGCTGTATCTGTTACGGGGTAGGTAGAGAGCACCAAGCGCTCTTAATTTGTAGATAAGATTTTAATCAGTACAGCATTATTACTGTATTGTAGAGCATTTCATGTTTTTTTTTGGACTACTCTAATGCTGTTAGCCGCAGCTGGCCTTTACAGCTTCACCGGATGATAGGGAGCGAGTGCAGATGACACTCCAAATCCGCGGAAGGACTTATGGAGTGGCTGAAGGCCAACTCCCACCTGACTGATATGACTTTAATCTGAGGACACCGCTAGGGGTTCGAACCTCGGCTCAAGCCATCATTATTTCAATTCCCGTTTCATTTCATGTGTGAACATCGCATCTTTTATATCTTCATCGACTTCATCATTACCAAATGAGCTATCGGCGAATTATATTGTTTTTTTTCTTAATTTACATAATAAAAATGCCATTTTTCAAATATGCCGTTTTGTCTATTCTAATTTTTACCATTTTTTTTTTGTAAATACCTACATATTATATGTAGAAATCACCCAGACCTATACAAACAATCATACTCATGTTTGTGCTGTGCGAGAAATCGAACCTGCAACCTTCGTAAG